CCAGTGGTTCTACTTTTTGTCCCTCCCTCTCTTTTTCATATCTGTCGCTGCTCCTCAACATTTGAATGTCTCTGCTGTTCGGCTTCTGATGCTACAGTGACTTCTAGTGTAAGAAGATGATTACAAAGTGCATGTGCAGAAGCAAGTCAATGTCAACAGATGTATCAGATTTTTTCTTCTGGGCCCCAAAGCAATTGTTTAGCTCGTGATGTAAACTTGACTGATATACGATGTCTTCCTTATTTTATATTTACTGCCTCCTGCTTGTCAAAATGATAATGTTATGTGTTCCCCTGTCTTCTTCTCACAGCCCCTGCATGATCCACTATCTTCACAAATGTCTGATGTTTAGTTTTTGTTTGTGAAAAAAAAAACTGCTCCAGTGTCTCTCAGCAGTGGAACATTATCAGGTGACCTTTCTAACTGGTAGAGGATTCAGTTTCCAAAAATAACAGATAATCCAAATCATACATGCTGTGAAACTGGGTTTCCATATGAGTGTGCATTTTCTTAATTTCCTTCCAGCTTTTTCATGATGAATACCAACTTAGTCTCCTTCCCGTTGAGTAGCAGAAATTGGCTCGTGTTAAAATAAAAATGTTTACACAACTTCAAGCTGCGTGTGTGTGTGCAGTAATAACCCAGTTACCCTTTAAAGGGCAATGACCCTATCATCACAGTTTCATCACTCAGCAGAGAGGAGGCAGTAACACACTCTGGGGTGGCGAGCTGCAAGAGGTTGCAACATCTGCAGACTCTGAAGGTCCTTGAGAGCAAATCCTTGTGCAACTACTCCCCCTCTCTTTGCACAGCGGTTAAACACTCCACCCGACACGATATAACTGTGAGAAACAAAACATCCTGTTTGAGTTTTTATTGTAAAATTGGAAAAAAAGGAGAGAAAGAGAGAAAAGCCCCAATAAGCATTTCTTTTTGATACATATCTTTATCTTACCATAACCATAAAAGAAAAGTGGCTGAATAAATAATAAATAAATAAAATAAATAGATAAATAAACATCAAGTTACATACTTGACCTGATAATTATAAAATTATTTAATCATCAATCATTAATATGAAGTAATCTAAGCAGCAAGTATTAAGAAATGTCAACAGGGGAAAATGTTTGGTTTCTCAGGCTAATACAGAACACATCGTTTTTTTTACATGTTTTTTTTTATAAAAAGATACTGCTTTCCCTGTCAGTTAATCCATGCTGTACTGACGCTGCCACAAAAACAGGTGGCGCTTTCCTTTAAAAAAGAAAGAAAGAAAAACAATACAACCTGTGAACCACATGTTCTCCTCCAGGTTAAACAATAGTTCTGAGATCCTCTTTTTGCGCCCTGTATGTCAGTTAAGTCTTCTTCACAGACTCCATACTGCTGTTTATATGTTTTTGTATGCTTTGTGCTGAGAAACCAGAAAGTTAATATCTTTATAAAGCGACCCACCCCCTCCCTAGAACCCCTCCCCCATTTCAAACCCTAATCAATATGTATCTAAAGAAAGGTCCTGTGCTGATTTTCCATAATATACAGATTTCATATTTATAATAAGCTACTATCCTTAGCATTCAAACCATAGGCAAATAATCATATTGTTAATACTAGTAGTACCGTAATCTTTAACCCCCCCCCCCCCCCCCCCATTGAGCATGCTCAGAGATTGCAAGGGCATTGTAGGATGACAAATATAAAAAAAATGTATGGATGCTAGAGTGAAAGAAATGTAGAAAATAAACTTTAGATTGACCACATGCAACTGAAGTATATAAAGATTCAAATAAGTACTGCTATTTCCTCACATAATTACTGGATTTTTGCTTTCAATTAAAAACCTCAATTAATTAATTAATTTCTTGTTTTTTTGTTGTTTTCCATTTAATTTTGTTTCCCTTTTCTGAATGTCCTACTGGATATGTACAGTATAATTAGGTTTATGCTCGATATCCACAAACCTTCAGTGTTTTAATTTCGTTCGATCAAATTTCATTCTTTCTCTTGGCAGGATGAAATTAACTCAACATCTTTTCCAACTCATTAAATTTCAGCCACAGCTGGCATCTTTAATTTGCATTACCCGAGCTGTTGTGAAGGCCACATTTAATTTGATTTTAATAATTTAAAAAACTCTCTAGTAGAAATCCCATAAGAAAAGATTTTTGAGTGGGTTTATAAGGCCCTGCATGGCCCGGGGAAAGGAGGGCATATATCACAGATCCTAAAGCTGCTGGGCCTGACAGGAGAGAGGAAACTAACAGTAACTCACCAAGGGGAAAAAGCTGTCTTCTGGCAAATATATATGAAATCTAACCTTTTCACTAGGAAACTCTATTGTATATCATTACAGCCTGCAAGAACCTTTATCCCACAAGTTTATGCTATATCACATAAACAAATACTTGTTCTAGTAATGAATATTTCCTGAAAATGAACACATTCCTAAGAACATTTTCAAGGAATCTGGCACACGTTTAAAGTCTGATGAGGAAATGCAGTGGATATGCTTGCATAATTTGGCAATTCATGATGAGAAAAGGCATTTTTAAAGGCTTTCTTTTTTTACAACATCTAAGTATTGCCTGCAAGAGAACAATATGCAGTGGAGAAGGGGAGTAACATTTGTTAACAGCCTCCTGAAAATGAAACCCCTTTCTAATAATACTGATCCTGTGAACCGGGAACCAAACAAATAAAGAGAATTAAAAAATGCAGTCACCAGGACCTGGGGAGCCATTCTGCTGATGACTTTTTGTGGTTTCAGACTATGGAGGCATAGCAGTCATGTTCTCTGAAGAGTCTGCGTACGTGGATGCGGCCGTAGAGACAGCATTGTGATTCGAAGCACTGATGTGTCTAAAGTTTAGAGAAATAATCATAGCGCTGAGGTCTCAGAGTCCTCAGGGGCGAGCTGCTTCAGTGCAAACTGACTCAATGAATGGCATGTTGGAAATACTTTCAAATGAAAAGACAACTGAGTGGATGTTAGTTGAAGAAATATGAGAGTGAAATGGATAATGGAGAGTAAAAGCAAATAACGCATGGACAAAGATTTCATCTCGGATGTACTGTATGTGGCGCTCTCCACAGACGATGATAGTTTAGTTAATTAATCTTATCGGGTATGGCGTGATGTGTCGTGACCACACTGTATAGGAGCCATTTGTGACCGCTGCTAATGGTAAGCTGTCGTCTTGTCGAAGCAGCAGCAGCTGTAGCAGCTACACTTACAGGCCTGCTGCTGTCTAATTGATGGATCATTTTGCTCTTAATTTGACCTCCTAAGGCTGGCAATGCCAGGCTGTTCCTCAACGTGTACAAGCTCTTACTGTGCTATTATACCCTTTGGAAAAAAAAAAGAAATACAGCTGCTCTTCACTGAAGAACTCGTACAATTTAGTCTAAACACTTAGTATATACAGATCCTTTCGCAGCCATCAAATCATCTCAAATGTTATATCTATGAGCAATAATCTCTCAGATTTAAGTGCCTCGGAGGTGTCCCACAGGACATGCTACCTCTGTCAGGTTTGAGGTCCCCTCTGAGACTGTGGATAGTAGTTAGAGAAGGGCAGGGCTCCCATCCAAGTACCGAGAGAAAAATGGACTCTGTCACTCAGTCAATTCATTCAAAATGCCAATGCGTAATTGATGGAGCATCTCTTGCCCCGCAGTGCTGCTCCCCATCTGATCAATATTATCATTATCCTAATTATGCTGTGGGTTAGCTCTCGGCCCCCGTGAACTGATGGTCCCTATTAAGAGAGAGATATGCTGGCACTTGGAGGTGAGGAGAGAGGTGGGTGGGGGTGGGGGGCTGCTCCCGCCTGCTGAGAGCAGCTGGAGGGGCTTGGCAGCGGGACGGGGCACGACCCGGCAGGGACCACTGTGACACGACCATGGCATTTTTTTTACAACTGCTGTCAAGCTCATTTGTATATTTCATTAAGCGGTTACAGATGCTTTGCCGTGTCACTGCTGCGTATCCAGCTCGACCGGATGGCACTCTCAACACAGTGCTTTATGGTCAGATTATCGGTAATATCAACGCCTTAATGATCACATTGAAGTACTTTTACGTCAATTATGGAATTGCAACACGCTGACAAGAGCAGAAGACAGCGATACACGGCTGACTACACTGTGGATGGTAATGTTGGCTTTAAGAGGCTGTTATTGTGTCACTTTTGGCACGGTGTTCTTCTTCTCCTGACACAATAACACCGACAGATCACACCTCCGAGATGAAATGCTGTGATGTAGATGAAACAATGGGTGGCAAAACAACATATCTGAACATGCCCGCAACAATGTCTAACCCACATAGTCTACCCCCCTAAAATAGTATAGCTTTATACATTTTTTTTCTGTTTTGTTTTAATATTCCTTAAACCCAGTAGCTATAAATGTAAAAGGAAAATAAAACAAAACCCATTTCCTCTTTTTTTTTTTTTAACCTGAAGCTAGTATTTCTTCTTAAGTTTAACTTGTAATATTATTATTAGTAGTTTGTAGTATTAGTATCTTTAATACTATATATTACTGTTCAGAACAATACAAATGTTTGGTCCTTTGGTCCCTTAGGGGTGAAAGATTTGCAGTTCTACTGTTGCTAATGGAAACCCCAGTGACCTCCAAGAGTCATAGTTCTGCCTTGCTGAGAGACGGTGAGAGAATAAGAGAAAGAGGGAAAGAGAAAGAAAGTCTGTCAGTGGACGATTGGAATAGCTTCTTTTTTTCCACTGTTTTTCTTGATCTTCAAGTTTTAACCCTCATTTGTCCAGTACAGTAAAAGCCACAATCGCGCCTCTTTCCTTATATATATGTGTATATAATATGTATATAGAAATCTATTTGTTGTTGCTGCTTTTTTGTTTGTTAGTTTGTTGCTTAATTAACAATTCAAGTCTCAACAAGAAAAAGTTCTGTTGTTCAGTCTCATCACATCTTTTTTCAGTTTTTTTTTTCTTCTCGTCTTTCTTGCACTGTGCCATCTGTTACTGTTAAGTCCCCCGGTGAAGCGTCTCCTCTTCTCTTGCATCTTCTTCTTTTCTGCCGTAACCTATAGCTTCATAAGTAAATGCTGATATGTCTTCAAAAATTCCTTATGTGTTGATTTTTTTAAAACATATTTTGCGCTCAAAGAAAAAAAGTGTAACACCTCCGAGATATCTTCACGTGTCCTCTAAAACCTGGAGAATAGAAAAAGCAGAAAGAAGGCAATTTCAGATCTCACTGCTCATTAAGCTGTCATTACAAAAAAAAAAATGTATTTCTTTAAACTTTGGAGAGTTCAAAATGACTATTAAATCAGTGAAATGGTCTGGAGAGAGCTAACCCGCACTGGCACACCAATCAATCTTTGTCAATCATGACGATGACAGATTTTCCTATAATTAATACGACTGCTGTGAGGCATATCAAATCAACTCTGCAGATACTCAAATTCTAGAAACATTTAGAAATGAAGATTTACTGAACACAAAGTTCATTCAATACTTACTGCAAGATCTTAACATTCAGGCTGTCTGAAGAAGCAGCGAGGACAACATTTGGCCAGATGTCAACTGCCACTTCCACTCAAGCAGAGTCACATCTTCAGCTTTAAGAGACACCATGTTGAGGATCTAAATCCTGGACCGGTGACAGGGCTCTGACACTTTGCTGGCTCACCTGTGCTGCTGCAATGAATACTGAAGGTAGGCTTTGTCAGTAAGGGCGGCTGGCATCCTTCGGTCTCTTTAGCTGGACTTTCAACCTCTTCATCCCGATCTGAAAGCCGTTCATGGCTTGGATAGCTGCCTGTGCACTAGCAGGGTTGTCGAAGCTCACGAAACCTGTGAGAAAGAACAAGTTAATTAGCCCTGTTGAGAATTAGGATAATGCTCAGTGCCTAAACGAGCTATTTTAGAATGTAAATCAATATTCAGGGGTCATTTCTACAGCAAAAACATCTACTGACAGGAAGAGAAACTTGAAAAAGGGAGAAACACATTTGTCTGTTGATCATCATGGCTGACTGCCTCCTGAAGGAGTCTAGAGGGCGTAGTTGAGACAGTGTGCATGTTTCGGCTGCTTAGCAAATGCTCAGTGCTTGTGACAGTGTGTTAATACGTTCTTCCCAACTGAAGATGGATATAGAATTCTATTTTATTTCTCAGAGTTGAATATGTCCACAGTTAAAAACCAGCGCCTTAAAAAGTGAGTTAGCTTATGTTGCACAACTCTAAAATAATCTCCGGTAAAGACCGCTTCGGGACTCCAGATCCAAATCTAAATATACTAACAGTATCAGGATGAGGTTGTCCAAAAATATATTTTTTTCCTTAACAGTTTTTATTTGGAAATGTTTACAAGCATTTTTAATAATTGTTCCTTTCCCCCCCCATTCACAACAAACAGCGTCCACTCATCCGCCTCAACCTATATCTTCAACATCATCTAGAGAAGGAGCAATACAAAATAGATTGAGGTCACATAAAGTCGTACTCTATGCATACCATCTTTTTTTACTTAAAATACTTTTCAACCTCTTTTTCTGATATCCCTAGAAATTCCAAAGTACAGAAATGAATGAGCACAGGTCCCTGGGCAGAGTATTTGGAACAGAACAAGAGCAAACATAGTTCATCATGGGGAGTCAAGTCTGCATTTCCCCCAAGACACACCCCCTCCTCAAACCTACGCTGAACATCCTGTTTTCATCATGTGTAAAAATAAAGCCTTGAGGACTCAGTGACCAGAAACGGCAGTGGAGTGTGTCTATGCTTGATGCGCTCCCCTGTGTGTGTGGTGTCATTAGGAGCAGCCGATGACCCGTGAAAAGCAGCAGGAGCCTCCCTCTCGTCCACAGCCACCTGGGAGCGTGTCTGTCTGGCTCTGGGCCGGCCCATTAGGGCGAAGGCTGAGCTGAACGCAAGTCTGAAGAAAGTATAGAGGCAGGGGAAGGATGTGAGCGCCCCAACCCACCGTCAGGTTAACACATACGGGCCGGGAGCAGAGATGAGATGGAGGGGAGATGCAGGCTTAGAGCTCTAAGCCCTCCGCTCAGTCCTGTCACACATTACAAGTGTGCTTTCTCTCTTACTCTGTGTTTCCTTGTCTTTTGCACCCCATCAATCTACGTTTATCCCCTCTTTCTCCTCCCTAGATTAATTACACCAGTGTGCTCCCTGTTTCCCCAGGCCTAACATTATGTTGTAAATGCATAGTGTATAAGTCAATACTGCAAATAGCTCCTCTTTCATGAATTTATATGTTATTAAGTCCCCCCAGGGAGACGGGACTGCCGATCAATTTTGCCCAGGGTTCTGCTGTTCCCTGAAGTGAAAACAAATGCTGATCCATAATCGTCCTTTTGCCTTCACCCCCCCCCCCC